CTCCGAGATAAAATAGTCTGTTCTTTTTAGCGTTTCTTGTATACTTTAACATTTTTTTATAGCTAAAAAGAACAGACCATCGACTCGGAGTCGGATCGAGTCAACACATCGAAAACTCTAGAGGATGACTCTAGAGAAATGGCCATTCTCATGCTTCTCTCTGCTCGTACGATTGGCAGATCTTTAATAATATTCATTCAATGCTTGTGTGAGTGAATGAATGAACGTCATGACAATTGTATATAGTGTTCGATTCTGTTTATTTACTATAATAAATGAAAAAAAAAGATAATTTTAAGAATATTACACATGAATCACAAAAATGAATGATTTATTGTAGGAAAGTCGCAAATAAAGTGAAATTTAAGTTGAAAATTGAATAAAAATGCTGTCGCATACGATGCAATTTATATAAAAACAAGAGAATATATGAAATACTTGCAAAAACGAGATGATTTATAAATTTACAAAGAGAGAAAAAGAAGCTGTTCTTCAATACTATTTACATGTGCTCCAAAAGAAAAATTATATTGTTTATAAAAATTAAATGTATATTTTTACAAGTATTGTATAGTTCCATGTGTAACAAAATTTGGAGTTATCTGACATGATTGACGTAGACATAGACATGTTTTATATTATACCGCCAAATGGTGAGATACCTCTTTATATTTTGGAAGATTGCATTCTAACCAGATTAAATTATTTGAGGCTTCTAAATGAAGGATCTACTAACGAATTTGATGGGAAATTTGAATATTTATTAGAAAATTCTACTTACGATAAAATTGGACACTTTGTGTTACGGTAAGTATGTGTGTTTTATATAATAATCTTATAATAACTGAATAAAATAGTATTTGAATATTTAAAGGACGATAAATATACAATAACAAAATTTAATGTACATATCCAAAATAAAGGAATTAAACGATAGTTATAAAAATTTATTGTTAATTAACAATTGCTGTATTTTATTTTAGGTTATTAGCTTCCACATCATCAGATTTATGTACATATTGGATAACTAAAGAGTCATTATTATTTAAACATAGATTAGATAATATATCACCTAGACAATTACATAAATTGTTAAAGCAAATGACATGGAAACTACAAATATTTAAAGACAAGAAAACTGCAATTGACACAACTCTGATTGAGCTATGCAAATTCTATTTGCAACCTTTAGTTTTTAAACATTTAATAACAAATTGTCATGATTGCAATAATTTTCGATATGAAGGTATGAATACAATATATCACACGTATATCTGTATACAAGAAATTTTCGAATAAACTTATATTACTTTATTTCTTATTTCACATTTCAGTGAGATTTGAAATAGTACTAGACTTAGTAAAGGAAAGGGAACTAGTTCTTAACAATGGAAATGTCATCACGTATTGTTCAAATTGGAAAAAAGTATTTCGATCATTATTCAGTAATTATGTAATTAGTGAAATGAATATCATGAAGAGACAATCGCAACACACCATAAAACATGATCTTAGATTCCATATTTTGAATCAACAAGTTCATTCTTATCTCTTCAAGGAAGGTATTGCTCATGGAAATGTAACTATCGACAACATAGAGGTAGAAGCACAGAAATTCCCGTTGTGCATGCAACACTTGCATTCTGTATTAAGAAAAAGACATCGTCTCAGTCACTATGCGCGCTTGTACTACAGCCTTTTTTTGAAAGAAATAGGGATGACCCTAGAAGATTCAATTGTATTTTGGAAGCAAGAATATTCCAAGCCACATACTTGTACTTCAGTATGTTCGCATAATTGGCAATCGAACGAGAAGAAATTCGTGTACAGCATCAGGCATATGTATGGCTTGGAGGGATCGCGGAGAAATTATAAGACACCCGACTGCAATCTAATTTGCGTAAGTACAAAAATTTCACCGCACGCACAAAAAATTCTTTTCTACTCTATAGACAGTTGTCCACTTGATGCTACAAATATTTTAATGATGCATTCTTTGATTAGTCAATTAATAAAACTCTTTCTTCTGATTGATCGATCAAATGCTTCGAAGCATTTATAGCGTCAAATGAACCGCATCCTATATTAATATCTAAACTTTATTATTAGAACAACTTTTTCAAACATCGAAACTGTTGTAGGCTGGTATTAGTGGAGCAACATACGAGGGTGGCTGTCCTTTCAAGGATTTTGATACGAGTGCACTCAGAAATCTTTTACATGCCTCATTGACTGACGATGAAATTGAGAAATTTATAAATAACGTATCTGTTAAAGATCCAGAAGTTCTATGCACTGCATTTCTGAAACTCGTACGCAAAGACGAGATTAATGATATCATCGTCAAAAGTCCGGTACAATACTACCAAAGAATGATCGATTAATATTATGACTTTGAAATTAATCGATATTAATTAATATTTATTAATTTCAAAGTCAATTTATATCACCTTTACTTCTGCTATAAGTACTTTTTGTTATTTACAATCTATGTTGAAGAATCCTACTAATAAATATTTTGTACACATTATAAAACAATTATGAATTATATTTAATATTTAAGCAATCATTGTTTGCTGAATGATCGCAGAGCGTCTTGTACAACACCACGACTTACACCATCTCCAACTAATACAGCATGTACTCCAAGTTTACCAACTTCCACGATATTTCTGGACTCGTCGTCAAAAAACATCATATCTTTGTAATCAACGTGAGAACTCTTTTGAATGCTGAAAGCAATGTAATTAAGTTATAGTTTTAAACTACTGTACGTGATTCTTCACGAGCTTTGCACAAGACTTACTTCGAAAAATGTGCGACTTTGCTACCAGGAAATATCTCAACGTACTTGAAATATTTCTTCCAGCCAAATAGATCTATCAATTGTTTAGCTCCCTTTATTTGTGTTGTACGTGACGCTACACCGAGTTCATATCCTTCCCCTGATAATTGTTTCAATACGTCAGGTACATCAGAGTAGTGACGTATGGTATGACCATACAAATCTACTACTTTATTCTGTGCTCTAAAATTTTTCTTCTTTAAAAGTCAGAGACAAATATTTTTAAAACACTATGTTATTTTATTAGTTCTTAAGTGCACGCACCCCATCTTAAATGGTGGATTTACATGAGTGTCAACCCAAAATGGCCATAAGGTATAATCTGAAATTTAATATACTTTCCATATTTCTTTCTCTCTAAAAATCATAATGCAAATAATTCTCATTGCAACACAGAAAAAAGAATTGTAAACCTGTCATACATCTAAATAGTACATTTACGATGTCTGTACCTAAGTCGAAGACGATGACTTTCGGTTTTTTCTCCATTTGTTCTTTGATTGAATTACAGAGAAATCAATAACGATGTCACTTTGACACACGTGATTACTTCACTATTTTCCTTGATAAATAACGAAATTGCAAATCAGCTCACATGGTGAGCATAACCTAACTTAATTCCTTCTATTACCATCTGCATCTAATAGATGTCGCATCCATCTATTTAGAGTTTCGATTAGCAACTTTTCGGCCCTCGGCTACGTTCCGTTGTTCACTGCGAACTGCGAGTACTGAAAATCTACAGTTCACGTCACATATACTGTAGTTTTTCAGTATTTGCAGTGAATAACGGAACGCAACTCTTACACTAGCCGCCAAGAGGACATCGGCGGCATCTTCAAGCGAATTCTCGTAGAACTAAATGATCGACCTTTATCGCAAATATATATAAATGCATTTATAGCAGGAAACAATTTCATCTAGCTTGACCATATAATTACTATATCGAATAATATTATTATCTGCTAATTATCATTTCGATTAGCTCGTTTGCATGATGGGTTTAGAAGATCCGTCATACGAAAACTTATACGATTGCACGGAATTTACCTGGCAGATCTGTCGCACGTCCACGCTCAGGCTACACGACGCAATACCGTATTTACTTGTAATATAATCGTCACTCGGTAGTTTCCTCGAAGTTTTTGATATCACGTGCTTGTTTCCAAATAATATTATTACGAGCAATGACACGTAAACAGATACGACGAGAAGCGACGCTATATACAGTCACGCGGAATTCACCCGAGTATCTCTCGTTCAATTCTCGCAAAGAGTGTCGGCTCAATTAGTTATCAATGATATTTACATACTCAACGATGATCTCGTGGCAATTGTGCTTTGCTGCTACAAGAAGATTATAAGATCCAAAAAGGGCACACCTCACATATATTAATTACTGACGCGTAAACTGGCACTAACATATTATCGCCAATGTCGTGTATACTAACGCTGGGGAACAATTGCGATTGTACTCGACGTTTCACGGATTACGACGACTCTACGAAAGACACTTGAGATGATATTTCGCGCGCGAAATGTATTTTTGTATGGTAACAATCGCGAGAAATATTAAACGATACAAACGCGACCCGACACTCTTACTTGCTCCCACCGAACTGGGCATCAGTTAGATTAGTTCGAGAATCGCAATATCGCACCTTCGATATTGCGATTCTCGTAACTTCAAGCGATCGAGGACGGAGGACTAAATGCTGCGCTCGAATTTGTTTTAGCTGTACTGTCTGTCTATGCGAATGCAAAAATAATATTGTAGCTTCAAATATTTTCAGTGATTTAGTTTCAATTCTAATTAACTTAATTAACAATTTATTCAATTGCTTAAAACAAAATTTTTAACTATATATAAAATTTGTAGTTTCTATAATTTATATAATCTTTAATTGTTTATATTCCGTGTGTTATTTTCTTAGAACATATATTATGTACATCGTAATATATGTTCTAAGGCCGTTATTTTAAACAGTAAAACATTAATTATTTCCATATCATAATAAAACATGTATTATTTATATATACAAACAGTGTTATTACACTGATTACATTAATCAAAATTTGGTCGTAGTCCTTTATAAAGTTATTTAAATCAACTCTGATTATAACTTATTTTAATTGACAATTAATTTATTTGATAAAAATTGTATGCATATACATATATGTGTGTGCGTGCGTGCGTGCGTGCGTGCGTGTGTGCGTGCGTGCGTGCGTGCGTG